TAATGTTAGGGTTAATTTACACAGCTGTCTTTCTTACGATCACATGACATGTTTTAGAATTTCAGTGTTATTTTTACTGCATTCTTTCTACCTTACAAATATCAGTTTCAACTTTCCCAAGTACAATAATTTACACATTGAGGAAAAGAAGTGAAATAAAAAGATCAGCCTTTGAAACTAAGGTTTGGTCTATGAGTGAGTTATACATTAATGATAGTGTGTGAATTAGTGTATTTGATTGAACTCAAAAGACACATGCATCAGGCCTAAAGATAGCTTCAGTGCTGAGGTGACTCATTGCTTGTAGCCAACAGTCAACCCGGGGGTTTTGTCAAGTTTTTTTCTCATGGTGATTTTTTTTCTTGACTTGTCAACAAAGGCAGAGAAAATCTGTCTCACAGCTGGTGACTGTTATAGAAACACTGACTACTGGTGGTGGGGGACTAGATTGAATTAAATACACATAATTTTTATAGAAAATAGAAGTCCTTAATATCTTAAATGATCATGTGAATATATTTTCTCTTAGTCTAAACCAGTCTGCTCTCTATAACAGAAAAAAATCTAAGTATTTGTACATGTATTGAAATTGATTAGATCATGTGTGAAAAATGTCAATGCAGGTATATGCATGTTCCATTAATTGCTTTCAGGTAAATTTGTCTTCTCTTATTTTTTTTTCAATGCCTGGTAATTTGATCGATGATAGCTTGAAAAATAGTATATGTGTAGTTCTCAGCCATCAAGTTTACATATATACATAGTTAAGCCGATTCAAATTTTAAAAAAATGTCAAATGTATGTTTTCCTTTACCATAATGATAACATAACAATAAAAATTGAGAAGGTTATTTGCTGAAATAAAGGACAAGAGGTGTTTCTATTAGATACTGTAAATCACTTTATTTTAGTGAGTATTGAATTTCGCTAAAGTTAAGTTGCTGTTTTATCTGCAAATACATGAGAGATTTGAATTCGCAAATGATGCTGCTTGCAAATAAATTTGAAATATAATCGCTCGTGAAAAAATAAGTGATTTACATCTTTTGTTTAATGGAAACCAATTTACATGGTGTTATTACATTGTCAGATGTTGTAAGCAATTTTCTTCATATTTTTTATTACTTTTTACAACATCCCAATGGCAACTGTTTGGAATTGGAGTCCTAAGAATAAGAGAGTTAGAAAAAAACCGTTTAATGAAAAAATATATCAATGGTGTAGATAAATCCATTACTCATTGGGAGTTTTATTAATACATGTATTGTTACTAGACAATTATCAAGTCAAAGGAAATCACTTCACATTTCTTTATTTTAATTATATATCATAGGTAGGTGGTCAAGTCATGCTGAAGATGTCACTCTTGTTTATGACTTTTCAAAACTTAATCTCAATAAGTCTAGTTCATTTCTGACACTTAGTTGATTTAATTCTGTCTGAAAATCAGCCATTGAACATCCTTCTTAAAACTGTTTAAAGCAGTCTTATTTATCTTGTACATATTTCAGAATGGTGAAAAGCTTTTCAATTAATTCGTCATACTTGCCCAAAACGAATGCTATTCTGATATTCTGAAGTGTACACAGGTATAAAGACTGGTAGGTTGTCTTACCTTTGGACCTTCGCAAGAATCAGGGTCCCCTGTACTTGCCAAGATATTTCAACCGTCCATTGCGCAGAAACTTAGTTATGTGCACTAGAATTACCTGTCGTCTTTCAACATAAAGATTTAGAGATTGATCATTGTGTATCATTTTAGAGATGGATGTAAGTTGTTGCTGAGGTTTGTCATTAGTTCAAAAGAACAAAACTGTAACTGTAACTTAAAACAGCATTAAAAAAAAAGTATCTGTTTCATGAGAAATCTCAACTTCACTGCCATAAAATTGGAAATTTATTGACTTTTGATAATATCAGTGTGCTTTATTTAAAGGTATTGTGTGCAGAAAAGAAAGATGAAGGTATTTTCCTGCTAAATTGTTTAGTTGCCTATTTCTATTAACTAGAAGCTCATTATCATTCATGTTTTTTTTTCACTGTTTACGTGTAATTGCGATACCTTGTAAGCTTTCATTGTAAATGGAATGAAAGTTGCTGCAGTAAAAAAGATTATAAAAAGGAACACATTTACTTGATAAACGCATATAATTCATCATGTCTGTGCTAATGACATGCCCACCATGAAATCAATTCTTCTTCCTCGTGATGGTCTTGTGTAATCAAAAGGATGAAAAATATGAGAAATAATTTTTACGCATTGTTAGAAGTGTCTCCATGTAGTAATGTATACTGAAATTGTGATAGAATTTTGAATGGTTTCCTTACTGTGACAGGTTGAGTAACAGTGCCATCAAGGATATTATTCAGACACTTAGGTGTCTGAGTTACACCAGCACTATTTTTATAATCTGCATCACATATATATATATGATGTCATAGGGCAAGAATTTCTATATTACTGATGTCAAATCAAGCAAGGAATGGCTTTCTAATGATCCCGTCACACTAATAAAGTTAGTGAACACATACACTGATAAATTGGCCCTTTGATATTTAATATTGTTATTGAAGTCTTTGTAAATAAGAATTAATTATTCCTAAATGATTCTGATGAATGTGATTACTTTGGTCTGAAGTTGAGGGACCCAAGTGTATAAAAAGGTTATAATTAGTCCCAAGTGTTCTTGGAAAGAATCAGGAGTGTAAGTGTTTTCTCATAGATTAGCTTTCATATTTAATTTGATAAGGAGTTTAGGCACCCGAGTTTTTACAATACATGCCATTTGATGAAAAAATAAGTGACCCACAGTACTGCCTGGAGTTATTACTACCCTATACCATCCATAGCCTTGATATTCTTGCTAAATTCAGTGCTTGTGGTTTCATAAGTTTGTACCTCCACAGTGTTTTTTTAGCCATATACCCACTTATAGGCTTTCCTTACTACAAGTCTAACAAATAAAACTTGTATTTTCCTGATTGAGTTTTCAGTTTATTTAATATTTCTGTATTGAAGGAATAAGTGGTACCTGTGTATTAGAAACATGTCACATTTATAAAGGAATGCTTACCAGATGAGACTTAATGAGAAGTGATAGACTGTCCTGTAACACTATCAAAAGAACTGATGCAGTTTTTTTCAGAAAGCTTTTGAGTTGTTTATAGAATTTGGAAAAATATGGATATATGATTTAGCTGTTAATGCTACTCACAAGAGTAATTAAAAATACTTTTATACTTGAAATCCCTCACTTAATGCTACTCACAAGAGTAATTAAAAATACTTTTATACTTGAAATCCCTCACTTAATGCTACTCATAAGAGTAATTGAAAATACTTTTATACTTGAAATCCCTCACTTAATGCTACTCACAAGAGTAATTAAAAATACTTTTATACTTGAAATCCCTCACTTGTTAATATCAAGTCCAAAAAAACTAAAAAGTCATTTGACTGGCATGGCTTTCATTAAAGAAATCTTAGTTTAGGAACTAACTAGAAAGGCCAAAACCATCAGATATTCTCTTGCCTCTGTTGTTAAGAAGTATGACTGGCTGAATATGGCTATTTGCAGGGATTGTGGGCATTCATGTCTAAATTTACTAGTCACTGATGCCATAATTAAATTGCGTATGGGTCACTTCTACTTCTCTGAGCTTCGAGAATGTTGCTTAAATCCTTCATTATCATTAGTTTGACAACTCTATAGCATCTTTCTTTCTAAACTAAATTATGTAGAATTATTCATGATATGGATGTGATGTTTAGGTTAAAAAATTCTGTCTACAGTAATTTTAGCCAGGGTAAATAAACTTCTGTCATTGCTGACCATACTGATGTCTCTGGATGACTCAAAAGTACCAGCGATATCAGTAAGTCCCGGAACGATTAGCTTATTCATGGTTACAGACGAGAGAAGGGATATTCGAAAGACCTATAATACTTAATAATATAAAATCACCAGTCATTATTGTTTATGCCTGGTCAGAAACTGATCAATGATTACATGACTTTGAAATTGCTTGACCACAGTTTGGTCACTCTACTGGGCATTGACTTTGTCACTTGTCCAGAAGAGCTGTGTGTCATGATTGGTTGGGGGCAGACATGGATCCTAGAGATTGAGTGTGAATCATGTGAATCATAGGCCTATATACTTTACTGACTGTGCTCTAGATGTAAGAGACGCCAGGATTCTGAGCCCTCCTTGTAAACCCTAGGTTGGGTGTGCAATTATTCACACATAGTCACAACTACAGATTAACCTGTTGAAGAATACAGAATCCAAACCCCCCTCCCCCAATCCCACCCAACCCCACCAAAAAAGAAAAACTGCAAAAAGTCTTTATATAGGTCAGTATTCTTTCATTAGAAACATATTTTGAAACCAAAGCTATAAGTTTGATAGTATCAGAATTGGAAAAATTAGGACCACTTTGAGCATTACTCGAAGCTAGGATGTCTCCTTTTTGGGTTAGTGTTTTTATCTTAGCTATGTGTCATGACATTGCGTTGATGCATTGATACTGTTGCTGTAAGTGGCAATTGACTCCATAGTGGATCTAGTTAAATCAGTAATAAAAATAGTTCAGTTTAAATTATTGATGCAGTTATTTCCAATAAGAGTAAGCTAGTAGTCTTAAAGACTGAAACATATCCTATAAAAACCATCCAATGTACAAAAAATAAATACTCTGGTTAGTAAGTAATATATCCAGTCTTTCACATCTGTACAACAAGAAACCTAAAACAACTAAAGCAGATAAGGTAGGATTCGAATTGATTTCCACATCGAACATTCATTGTAGTAATTTGGGAACTAATAAACAATGACAACTTGACTCAATATGATAGTAACTGAGTAAATATTTATACAAAATTATTTCTAAATCTAAAGGAAAAAAAAGAAATTTAAGTGTTAGAATGCTTTATGTCTTCCAAATATTTTTTTAAAATATTTTTTTTTAAATTTTCGTATGTTTCCCTCTTTATACAGGTCCTCCTCATCGACAGCCGTTCCTTTCTGGAGCACAACACCTCACGAATCCAACAGTCGGTCAATGTCTGTTGTTCCAAATTGGTCAAGCGCAGGCTTCAACAGAACAAGGTAGGCATGGCAACTGTCTTATCCAATGTTGGCATAGCAACTACTTTATCCTATGTACTGAATGCCAGTTATGATCTGCTTTGCATAATGACAGAAATTACCCAATTGTGGTAGGATGGTGGTCCTCCAATGATAAACATTTAGGAAAATATCCTTCATTAAAACAAGTTATCTTTTATCTTATAAGAAACTTTATTGAAATAATTTATGAAACAAGTTTAAAAGAATTCTTGGAGATTTTTTTTTCTTTTTCTTTTCTGTTTGTTTTTGTAGCTACAAAATCTGTTAAGAATGCTTTTGTAAGACATGACAGTAGTAGGTTGAAATCTATCTTTTACCTCAACTACAATATAACCAGCAATGCAAAGTAGTTAAATATGGTATACAGGGAAACATTTATCCATGGTTTTTTCCCCTTGTGTAAAATCTTCATTTTCTCCACTGATAAATTCACAGTAGAACACAGAAAATTTTGTATATCATCTTAACATTAAAATTCAACCCATACTTCATTTTTGCCCTATTACCAAAAGGCCAAAATGGTAAAACTGCATTACAAATTTTGTTTGTATACAGCTGTATAAGATAAGGGGCATTGAAAAAAAGCAAATCTTTTTACCTCATATCATCACAACAATAGCATGCTGCCAATTGTTATGAGTGATATCTAGAGCTGGAAGCAGAATGGATTACCAATAGTGTTTTGAATCGCTTTTCTCATGAGTTGCATGTAAAACAGTGGTTCGGGCCTTGGAGGATGGGTGTTTGCCCAGAGGTAGTAGAATTTGCCTAGGATTTATCGATACATATTAAATATGCCATCACGATTGCATGTGTAGAAAATGGCAGGAGATAAGCTGACCAATGTCTACAGGCGATTTGCGCTGTAGAAGGGACATAACTGTTAGTTTATGAATATTCATTAAGAATCGGGGCAGTGACAACAATACCCAATTTCATGCCAGAATCAGCATGCTGAGATGATGGAGTGTGTTAAGTTTTTACCTGAGATTATCACAGGGTAAATCAATACTAGAGGAATTATTGATGCTTCCAATGTTTCATAAAATACTTGAAATTGATTATTAATCAGCAAATTATTTGCTGGAAATTTGCCAGTTTGAATAGTTTATTTGAACTATTGGTCCAGAATGTTTTGTATACATTAACTATGTAAACGGTTTGTTTTACCCATCTGTACACACATGCTGACTGTCCATTCATTTGAAGTAAAATGATTTAGTACAAGGCTATTCAGTCAGTGATGCTGAAAAAATAGATTAAGCATTTTTTTGTGAAAGGTGAGAGAGCTTGTTAAATATTTAAATCATCCTATTGTTCAGATAATGTATAAGCTGAGATCATATTTCTGATTCCTGTGTTTTATAAGCTGTAGCATGCTATAACAAGTATCCCTAGACATGGTATGTACTGTGGGTGAGATCCTTAATGATCCAATCAAAATAGGGCAACAAAAACAAACTTAAAACTTCAGATCAAAAAAAAAAAAAAGTTAAACAGATAGGATCTTGAAAGAAAGGATAGATTTATATGATGTGGTAATGATAATTTATCATATATGTGACTGTTGAAAGTCAAGAGAGTAAACAATCGTAAGGCAGCATATATCCTTGTAACTAGTTCCACAGGGTGTATACAAGATTTCCTGTAATTATGATGTCAGTGGTTCTATCAGCTGCTTAAACTGGTCATAACTGGTGTCTTCCTCAATGAATGACATGGGGGAGGCCCATCACATAATTTCCACAGCAGAGACTGATGTTTTTCAGCTTCTTGAGAAACACAAACAGGTAGTAAACAAGTAGTAAGTGTTGAACTACGCACCTCGGATATTCACCTGAGGTTACATGAGCCAGCACTCAAACTAGCTGAGCTGTTGTGGCCCCTCGCACAGTGAAGGTAGATAGGGCTTTTAAGTCCTGTAGTGAGATCTGAATATAAGTGTAGAGAGACTATGTAAACATTCAAGTCACGATGACATAAGTTACCAGTTTCAGATATTCTTCACACCTACACCGCATGTTATATTGCTGCTAAAAAATCCCCATGTTGGTTATTAAAATAATGAGTTTATGTACCATACAGTCATGAATGCCTATCATGAATCAATACACTTGTATCTAGTGTACATCTCTGTTAGTACAAGGTTTTCTGTCTATTGTATAATAAAACTTGTGTAAACAGGATCTGTATGTAGTCTCATGCAATATTATGTAGAGTATTGGATTTTGTTAAAGATACCTAGCAACCGAAACAGAGAAACCTACATTGTGATATCCTGTCAGTACAATGAAGACCCATATGCAGGCCTGTGAGTTGTGACCTTACAATGTGATATCCTGTCAGTATAAAGACCCATATGATATCCTGTGAGTTGTGACCATACAATGTGATATCCTGTCAGTATAATAAAGACCCATATGGTCGCCTGTGAGTTGTGACCATACAATGTGATATCCTGTCAGTATGATAAAGACTCGTGTGAAATCCTATGAGTTGTGATCATACAATGTAATATCCTTTCATTATAATGATGATGAATGTAATATCCTGTTAGTTATGACCATCACCACAAGCATGTATTAGAGAAGGTTTATGTTGATATAAAATGACTGTGGATTTGTGACATCATCAGTGTGTATTACAGAAGAATTATGTTGATATAAAATGACTGTGGATTGGAGACATCATCAGTGTGTATTACAGAAGAATTATGTTGATATAAAATGACTGTGGATTTGTGACATCATCAGTGTGTATTACAGAAGAATTATGTTGATATAAAATGACTGTGGATTGGAGACATCATCAGTGTGTATTACAGAAGAATTATGTTGATATAAAATGATGTTGATATAAAATGATATAAAATGACTGTGATTTGTGACATCATCAGTGTGTATTACAGAAGAATTATGTTGATATAAAATGACTGTGGATTTGTGACATCATCAGTGTGTATTACAGAAGAATTACGTTGATATAAAATGACTGTGGATTGGAGACATCATCAGTGTGTATTACAGAAGAATTATGTAGATATAAAATGTAGGTTTGAAACATCATCAGTGCAGTGTTACTATTTTTATCACCAGCATACTTTCCTTGACACAGTTTCAATGTGACATTGTTATTAATTTTGGAACAGCACCAGTTGATCTAATTTAATTGAATAAATAAACAAATGTTGAACAATTTACCATTATGCTTTTCTGTGGAACCAATTTAATTTCCATGATGGTGTATTGTGATGGCTTTGCCTGCTTTAGCCGCGGAGCTTGGAGCCAGAGATTTAGACTGTGTATTCACAGTGTAGCACACTGCAGCCTTCTGCTGTCTGTTCTATTTTAGTCACCTCCGCTTCCTTTGCCAAAATTTTTTTTATTCCCTATTTAACTCCAGAGATCTGATGTAAATGTTACACAAGTTTTCATGATTAAACTTCCTGTTGAAAAAAGTAGATGACATTAATTTGAAAGGCCATTCATCATTTTGAAAATTAGAATACTCTTAAAAAGCATGGATACCAATATCAGCAGCATTAGAAATACATGAATACCTTTACATCCAGGTACATGACACACCTGTGTTTTTCATGTACTTACATTTTTGTTAGAAACGGTTGATTATTGTTTGACTTTATTGATTTTGACTTTCAATAGAATTGGAAGGTTTTATGTGATACCTGGTAAATTAACCTATACTCTTATGTAAGTTGAATGCTACCAAACACTCTCAATATTTCATCCTGCTATTCCATAGGGAAACTTTTCTGTTAATCATTGATGTCTAAATAATAAAAGGTGTCATTTTCAATGTCGAGTACAAAGTAGGGCGAGGTAGGAAAGCCACACATGAAGGATGTCACGATGGGTGGTTCAGAGTGGATGTACATTATATGTTAAGTTCACATTAATGCTAGTTTGTTTATGTGGAGTTCATGATAGGTGGTTCAGAGTAGATGTAAAGTATATGTTAAATTCACATTGATGCTAGTCTGTTTATGTGGAGTTCATGATAGGTGGTTCAGAGTAGATGTAAAGTATATGTTAAGTTAACAATGATGCTAGTCTGTTTATGTGGAGTTCACGATGGGTGGTTCAGAGTGGATGTAAAGTATATGTTAAGTTCACATTGATGCTAGTCTGTTTATGTGGAGTTCACGATGGGTGGTTCAGAGTAGATGTAAAGTATATGTTAAGTTCACATTGATGCTAGTCTGTTTATGTGGAGTTCACGATGGGTGGTTCAGAGTGAATGTAAAGTATATGTTAAGTTCACATTGATGCTAGTTTGTTTATGTGGAGTTTACGATGGGTGGTTCAGAGTAGATGTAAAGTATACGACGTTAAGTTCACATTGATGCTAGTTTGTTTATGTTGAGTTCATGATGGGTGGTTCAGAGTAGATGTAAACTAAACGTTAAGTTCACATTGATGCTAGTCTGTTTATGTGGAGTTCATGATAGGTGGTTCAGAGTAGATGTAAACTAAACGTTAAGTTCACATTGATGCTAGTCTGTTTATGTGGAGTTCACGATGGGTGGTTCAGAGTGAATGTAAAGTATATGTTAAGTTCACATTGATGCTAGTCTGTTTATGTAGAGTTCACGATGGGTGGTTCAGAGTGAATGTAAAGTATATGTTAAGTTCACATTGATGCTAGTCTGTTTATGTGGAGTTCACGATGGGTGGTTCAGAGTGGATGTAAAGTATACGTTAAGTTCACATTGATGCTAGTCTGTTTATGTGGAGTTCATATTAAAGCCCCAGTAGACACATCATTTGGCAAGTAACATGATTCAGAATGGCTCTGTAAAAACTTCCACTCGGTAATTATGCAAAAATATGATTAAAACATTCTTAAGCTGATTGATATCTATTAAGAAACACTTGATTTGGACACCAAAAACAAAAAATGGATCACACTGAAAATACAACTCAATATTGTATGAAGTTCTGAAGGCCGCAATGAATAAAAAAAATTGTAACCAATAGGCATACATGGAATAAACAGATGTACAGGTGTAGTAGTACAGGTAAATTGCTATGTCACACATGTTCCACGCTTTTCATGATGTCATATTACGGATAGAATGTGGGTGGATAGTCATTTGAAGCCTTTGCTGTGTAGTCTGAATAGAACATATACATGTTTAAATTAAATATTGGCCTCTCACAGAAATGTTGAAAGAATTTTCTGACTTTGGTCTGGCAATGATTGTAAATTGAGGCATGTCTACAAAGAATTTCGATGGCTTTTATATTGATACCAATGCACAATATTGTCTTGAGTATTTCTCAGATATGTTGTTTTTCATATTTATGCTAGGTGGGTAATGTGAAATTCTCTTTCATGTTAGGTTTTTCTTGTGAAGTTCCCATTTATTTTAGATAGGTCAATTTAAGTTCACCTTTGTGAAGGGTTTCCTGTGGAGTTCACATTATGTCAGATGGGTCATGTTAAGTTACAACTCTATGTTACTGGACATAAGTCTTTGAAGAAAACATGTTATATGAAGACTGTTCTTCTCGAATATCTGCTAGTGTATTATGTAATGTGACCTAGATTCAAATTATTGATTTATGTTTTTGTAAAAGGCATCAAATCCCGCAACAGCCTTAAAAATGCATGTTCGAAGAAAACAAGTCACTCTCACGACATCTGTAGGAATACACAGTCAGGGTCTGGATCCATTGTTTTCGTGACATCAGGAATTTAAATATGACTTGAAAAAATAACTGCAAATTGCCAAAAACAATAACAAAATTCTGTCAATTAGAGAATCGTGAAATTTATAGAAGTGATATATCAACCTGTCAGCTGTAACATCAACTTAACAAGGGCGTGTGCCTTACTAGACTTCACACAGGTAAAAACCACACAGGTAAATGCACTTGGCTGACAGTGACATCACTACAGTGCAGAACATCCTCTATGTAGATCACACAGCATGGCATCCTTACTGTACTGTAACAAGGTCATTGTGTTTAACAAGGTCGAAGCATGACACACGACTTGTAACAGGTGTGCTTCGTCATACATAAACCTGCTAAAGAGGAGTTTGAGATCTTCTAGAGGAAGGGCACCCGAATGAGATACTATGATAAGGTCATTTTTATCATAGGAATATCGCTACATATATTAGAATAAAATTCTGATGAATGTGCAACAAGAATGCATCTGTACTGTATATACAGAGTCCAATTAACATCTCCACAGTAAGTGGGCAGACTGAAATGGCTGGGTGAGGTGCACTCTTTGAACAAGGATTTTAGTATCAAATCATACACAGGGTCCAAAGTCCAATGACCCACAGATCAAAATCCACAAGTCACACTTTGGGCCTCAATTTTGACCTGGTCATAGGATGATTATTAAAGCTTCATATAATATATAGACTTTCTACCAGGCCTTATTACTCTACATCTTCTACCAGCTTATTTCCCCATTCCTGTGGAGCTTAGGAATCACTTATTATTTATGCTTCAAATATTCTAGAGACTAGGGACAAACCATCTAGTATGTTAAATGGAATAGAACTGTTTTCTGTCCCTTTTTTCTTTTAATGCTATCCCAAATGAATCAAATGTGTTGTGTCATATCACTTTACTTCAAACCTTAGATTTATAATGTTAAGTATATCAAATGAGTCATATATAGGTATTAAAAGAACATATTCCTTTAAAAGTTCAAAGTGATTTAGTATGCAAAGGAATGCTTTAAAAGATAACTCATAGGGAAACGCAACATTTGCTTTGCTGATAAATCATTGTAGGAATTTTGAAGCACTATTTACATTGTATCAAGTACTATTTATTAATGTAGATTTGTTAAAAAAAGGCATATTACAAAATTTCCATTAATGGTCACCTAAAGGCATCATGATGACTAGTTGTAAACATTTTATGAATGGAAAGTTGTGACTGGTACTTAACACAGGAAAATTGTACTTGTAGTGTAAGTAGTAAGGGTAAGTGGTGATCTAGAAGATAAAATACTGGCTTACTATGTGATGGAATTCTATTTGTGACCTAGATGTCTCATTCCCATTGATATTTGGTGACAATGTTCATATCCGTTGGAACAGAAATTACTTTAATTTGACACGAAACTTAGTTTGTACTGCGTCCTCCTGAAACTCGAGCCATGCACAGCTCTATTTAAATTGAAGTGATAAAGAACTCATTTACATAATATTATTGTCTGCTTTAAAGCTTTCAGAATTGCAATTTAATGGTTGTTTTTGATAAAATCTTAAAACAGCAGTTAGCATCCTTTTGACAATTCTAATTATAGTGAAACACAAACAGTACCATTATTGAGTCTGTTTAGCATCTTAGTTGAGCTACTCAAAGAAAACTGTATTTCCTGTAAACAAAATTCTAGCAATAATTAGTGTATTGTTATATGTTTAAATATGTGTGTTATTTCAATAACGTGCTGTGTATGCTTATTTACATGATATGTCGGCATAGGTCACTTGTTTAGTGGGGACTATGATAGCTCGTTAGAGCAACAGACATTTCAATATTAGGTGAAGCTCCAAGGTGTGTGGTTCAATCCCTCGTTAACCCCTATTAGGGTCAGTTTATGTTTCCTGGAAGCTTTTATCACAGACTTCCCTTTTGTCTTTAGTTTTGTCCTTTGACAAGACACTTTATCCCATTTCTTCTGCATGGCATGCCACAGGCCTCCAGCATGGTGCTCTGTGAGGTGGCCATCAGCTTTCCCATGAGACTCTGATAGGGCAATAAAGTGAACAATGAAATCATTTATGTGCTGTTTAAATGGTGATGTTTGATGCCAAAATGCATTATATATTATCTGCATTGCTAATTTACATGGTGTGTTGTATATTAACCTGGTGTGCTGTTTATTACTTTGCTATTTATCTATGTTGTTTATTTACAGGTCCACATAAAAGAGTTCCTGACTCAAACATGCCACATAGACATAGAAGAGTACAGTGATGTTATTGTGTATGATCAGTGTACGGAGTTACCTGCCCTTCTCACCAGTGACAACTTTCTCATCGTCCTTCTCCGAAAGCTCATGACATGTTCTTTATTTAAAAGTGTGGCTTTGTTAAAAGGTAGGTGCCTTTTTTCACAGAAGTTAGAAGTGAGTTTACACCCACATCTTATCTTTGGAACAGCAATTCAGAATGTTTCTGCTGTAGACATAATTTTCTCAAATCTTCAATTGTTTTATTTTGTATACTGGACATTTTAGTGTTTTTTGGAATGGCCTGAAGATAAATGGTGGTAGAAGTTTCCTTAATGTTTTGGAAGTGTTAATGGTCAGTGTATATACTCATACATATTTATAAGTATCACATGTTGATATGTCCTGAACAGCATTTAGTTTGATATTCTGCTCCTTTGTGTTTTCCACAACAGCCAATCACCAGATCCTTATATCATGTGTGTATTATGGTATTCTCTGTCGTTTATATTGAATTCCTACTGGTTGTATTGATTGGAGACCTTGGAGGTGTGAATTGATTGCTTTTGATCACTGTCCTAATATTTATACTTTGATATACAAGGCCTATTCTTACACAGATTGTGTTAAAGAAAAAAACTTCTATGAGATGAAAATACTGTACTTTAACTGATATCCAAGTTTTACCCTTTTTTGTATGGCATTTGTAGTAAGGATGTCATTTCAATTGAAACAGCTATTCAAATATTTGACAGTCCTAATCTTAGTAAATTGTAAGTCTGTAATGGCAGAAGAATGCAGATTAAACTTAACTATCACTGCTATATCTAAAAATTTAACAATCCAAAACAAGGTTTAGAGACTTTTGAATGATGAAATTAGTCACCATAAAATTTGTCAGAGCATAGCAGAACCAATCACCATGGTTACCAATAATTGCCTTGGTAGCCAATCAGTATGGTCCATCTTGTCTCCCCATGACAGATAGAGACATGCATATGCCTGTCCTATCAGTGTATCTAGAGTCATATTTCATTTATCAATATGAGATTATCAGATGTATTTGTCATGGTAACTTTACACATGGTTTGTAGACTGACACACTTGGGTGGGGCTGTAAAATAGTACTGGGGTAGGTCTTAGGTTTGAATCAATTTTAGAACACATGGGAGGCAACAACTTATCAATAATGAAAATATTCCCTTGAACCGTGTCATAGGACTTTGGTTCTTTAAAGCTGTGTACTTAGAGTCTTGTAGAGTTGTCTTATCACCAGAAGATAATCAGCTCCAGTTGTAATAGTGAATGGTCGGAGTGATTCACTATTTCAGAGTTTCATCAAAGAGATTTTATCAATTTAGATTACCAGCTTATTAAAATTGAAAGAGTTTGCTGTGCTGACCAAGTAGTAGCTAAAGTTCTCAATACTGCAGGATTTTGAATTAATATACAGTGATTATAATTAGTTTAAAAAAATATGAAAGATTTTATTTGAAGAGTATCTACTTTTAATCATGTGATGTTTGATTGCTGATATGAATCAGCATGACTTTCATGTTATGTTTCTGGAATTCAATTTGTCTAGCTCATTTGAAAGTAATAAAAACTTGTAACCGTATTGTTATTTGTAGCAATTTATAATTAATGAATGTGTAAGGTGGAAACTCATTTAGGACCCTTAGTGGTTTGTGCTTCAAGAAGAATTTTGTTTTCTGAGTCTGTTTGCTTTGTCTCAAACATGAAAAAGAATGATTGAAGAGGAGATAAGTGATAACAAAATGATGATTCAATTGGAGATGTATGACTGTAAGGCAGACATAGAACATCGGATAGCTATATGTGACAAACTGTCAGTATTGTACACTAGAGTAGTTTTGAAATAATATAAGCTTGTAGATGTCACAGTCAGTAGTGTTGTGTTCTGTAACTGTTTGTCTTAGGTTAAAGTAATATATCCAATGATATCTTAGTACAACAGAAGTCTGGATTAGTCATACAACAGAAATCTAACACCATTTTCTTCTGTTGTCAATTAAGTTAAAGACTAGTTCCTTTCTTATTTGAGGATTTTCTTATATGAAACATTATCCTGGCTTATCATGAGCTCATTACAATAATAGTTTACTCTTCTCGTATACCAAGTTTTCAAACATGGAGGTTGAGCAAATTTGATAACCTTGATTTGTCATCGCCTGGGTTTCCTATATACAGACCCATATTGTCTTAACACCAAGACCCATAGAATCATACCCAGGCCCATGATGGCTTCACACAGACCCATTGTGTCTACAGATTGATTCATAGAATTATACCGATGGTGTGACCACACAGACCCATAAAGTCAGACCTGTGGTGTTTACACACAGACCCATTAAGTCAGGCCAGTGGGGTTTACACAAAGACACATGTTCTCTATATAAAGACCAACAGAGTCAGACCCATGGGTGTCTTCTCACAGACCCATATATCAACACCATTATCCATTGTGTTTCCACAAAGACCTGTAGAATCAAGCCCATGGTGTCTACATATAGACCCATAGAATCATAACTGTAATGTCTACACTCAGACCTATAGAGTCAGACCCATGCTGTCTATACACAAACTCATGGTGTCTACTCCTAGACCCATGGTGTCTACACACAGGCCCATAAAGTCATATCCATGATGTCTACACACATAACTATAGAGTAAGACCTATTATTTCTACATACAGATCCATGATGTCTGCACACATAACTATAGAGTAAGACCTATTACATACAGATCCATGATGTCTACACACATAACTATAGAGTAAGACCTATTATTTACATACAGATCCATGATGTCTACACACAACTATAGAGTAAGACCTATTATTTCTACATACAGATCCATGATGTCTACACACATAACTATAGAGTAAGACCTATTATTTCTACATACAGATCCATGATGTCTACACACATAACTATAGAGTAAGACCTATTATTTACATACAGATCCATGATGTCTACATACATAACTATAGAGTAAGACCAATTATTTCTACATACAGATCCATGATGTCTACACACATAACTATAGAGTAAGACCTATTACATACAGATCCATGATGTCTACACACATAACTATAGAGTAAGACCTATTATTTACATACAGATCCATGATGTCTACACACATAGCTATAGAGTAAGACCTATTATTTCTACATACAGATCCATGGAGTCAGACCCATTGTGTTTATACACACAACCATAATGTCTATACAGTAAGTGTTAACATATCATATATGAACAAAATATACTGAAAGCAAGTTGACCCTTAAATAATTTTTTTGATGTTAACCCATCGAGAAAATGAGGTGTGTTTGTGACCCCTGTTAGAACTATGACTAAGTTGTTCCCATCAAACACGAGGGTCAGTGCACTATAGATTAACACTGACCTGCCACCATTACTTCCGTCTTACCTTTGATTTTGACTGAAAATGATTAAACATGAACCATGTTATATTATTTCCAGTATATCTGTCTCTGTCCTGTAATTTTATTCTTACTTCAAGAGTAATTCATAGTGTAAAATATTTTGAGATAATTAGAAGATATTACATGACTTAATTAGCCTTTATAGTTAAAGGACAGGATTTGTGAATGGCTTCCAAATTTGCTCTATCATTGACCCTGTGAAATAGTGTAATTATAGCCCCTAGTTAAGGAAGCTATGTACTAATGAAGACAGGCTGGTACTGTCGTGGGAATATCCAGTAGTGAGAAGCTGTAGCCATGACAATCATTAACACATACTGCTGTGATAACAGTCAATCTGCAGGTCCATCCATGAACTTTACTTCTTTGGTCAAAAATGATAGTGGTTTCCATTATACACATTCTCCTATACAAACTTACTTTGAAAGGTCATGTCACTTTAACAAACTATTTTTAAAAAGTTGTGTTTCTTATACACACTTTTTTTGAAAGGTTGTGTCTCCTTTGCAAAGTTAGTGTAAAAGATTGTGTTTCTTTTACAGACTTATTGTGAAAGTCTTGTGTCTCCTATACAGACTTATCATGAAAGGTTGTGTCTCTTTAACAAACTATTTGTGAAAGGTTGTGTCTCCTTTACAAACTTATTGAAAAAGGTTGTGTCTCCTTTACAAGCTAATTGTGAAAGGATGTGTCTCCATTGCACAGTTATTGTAAAAGATTGTGTTTCTTTTACAGACCTTTACAGACTTATTGTGAGTGGTTAGCCTCCTTTGCAAACTTCTTGTGAAAGACTTTAATTAATTCTCATTTACAAACTTTTTGATTGTGTTTCTTTTACAGACCTTTACAGACTTATTGTGAGTGGTTAGCCTCCTTTGCAAACTTCTTGTGAAAGACTTTAATTAATTCTCATTTACAAACTTTTTGATTGTGTTTCTTTTACAGACCTTTACAGACTTATTGTGAGTGGTTAGCCTCCTTTGCAAACTTCTTGTGAAAGACTTTAATTAATTCTCATTTACAAACTTTGTTGTACATCAAAGTTTCTTCTATTAGGTAGAACATCAACTTTCTCTCTTCTGATGTCTGCTATTAAAGCTTAATTTCTGCTTTACAAATTATAAATGATTGTGTGGTTATGACAATTTATCTTGTATTGAAACTTATATATAAAGGATGCATTCCTATGATGGAATTGCTGCTCCAATTGTTCAAGCAAATCTAAAATCACTTCAAGGGGAAATGAAGGGTTCTATTGACTAAGCAACTGTCAGGAATGCAGCTCCACTTATCACAATAGTTACAGAGAAAGTTATTAATTATAGATTTGTTTGTATCTTACTAGGTTTCTACTGAGTAATTGCAGATTTTGTGATATATGAGCTAGACTTCTTGTCTTTTTGTATGCTTGGTGAATAATTCATTCATTGTCATCATAACATGTGTTAATGGTCTTTATTGTGAAATCATGCATGTAAGATGATGGAGGTTAGCATAGTGTCTTCTTAATGAGTCTATTTAGGGCAGGTTTTTTATTATCTTAGTGGTCACTGCAAGCCAGTAATCATTGAATGAATTAATATAAAGAGATAATTATTTTGAAACAAATGTCTAGTGTTGCCAGCCTGATTTCATCATATCAACCAGGCCATATTGTGACCTGTTCAAATTGTGAAAAA